AAATCTCAACACTCTCAAATTGGGCAAGTATCAACAACAAACACGGTTAGTTGTTTGCAAAAAATGTGATAGCTCGCCTATTCAACCACTCAAATCAATCGCATTATTATATTCTATACGGGTCAACATAGGCCTCAAATACTAGCAGAGTAACTGGTAAGAAATACACACTGCATTACAGATTCTCAGCATTAGTAAAACGCGTTAACTGAAAACTTTTCTTAGTACATTACACAAATTTGTGTCAATAATTAACAAAACTGCTGACTTTATACAAGACTCGAAGAGAAGATAGTTTTCTATAAGAAATAAGTTTTCAAAGTGTGATATTTCTTGCCAAGTACCGAACAATGCCAAAAAAAACTAAATAATTGACTTTATACACTGGTATTAACAATTTTAACACTGGTGTTGTAGACAATACAATAGCTGAAAATATATTTTGCATCTTCACCATTATTTCTCATTACTTTGACCATTCAATGCTTGGGGGACAATTTGGTTTTTCGAACAGTAAATAAATTGATGTATTTGTAGAAATTAGTTAAAGTGCAGGTGTCAGTTGTAGATAATAAACTACTGCCATACAACAATAAACAATTAATTAGAAATGAAACTATATTAAGTTGCTACTATTCGAAAAACCAAGTATTTTTAACATGGGCGTGTCACTATACCACAAAAGGAGACCACCCGTTTATCAGTCCGAAGCATTCATTTATACATATACAAAACACTTCATCGATTATATTATCATATACATTACATACAGTACATACAACTAGGATAATATGTTGACGTATCAGATCTAAACGTATACGACACGAATAAAAAATGGAAGTTTATATAAAAACGACGTCACGATAAATATATAAGAAACTGAGTGTTTTTATTTAGAAATTTGTGCTTTTCCTCCTATTACAATAATATATTTCATATTATAATAATATATCTTATGACATAGATAGACATATACCTAAATTAACTACTCTATTACAAAATCTATTCATTCAAATGGTATAAAAGTTTAACTATGTAGTTTTTTTAAGTAACTTTTGTTGATTTTGTAACAAATCTATACTATTGTGTATAAGGTGCTTCCAAATTAAATACAAAGTCAGCTGATTTTTAGCATGGTACACCGTGAATTGATGTCAACAATATCAAAACATATTACGATAAGAAAAAGTTTTATTGAATATGTTTTGCGATAATATGCATTAAATTACATAATATTATGTGATAAACCAAATCGGATAAGAAATCGAACTTAATTTGGAAGCACCATATTTACAGTATTATGTATATTTTTCTGACCGGAGTAAACGATATACGAAAACATATGGTTCATATTATTATTCTGTATACATTTTTATAACTTCATATTCAATAGTTTACATGCTCTGGTACATAATCGAACAGTTAAATAAAACTGTAAAATTTTATATTTTTAGTACGTTTCTTTTCTACTTAGATATCACTGTTTAATAAGTCATAGTTTATTTCACTGATTTAGTAGCAATACCACCGAACTTACATAAAGGTAACATAGGAATTTTTATTTTATTAATTTATGATAAAATTCAATTTGAGTGAGCTAGGAGGTATTGCTGCTATTCGTTTAGTGATTATAATTTCTGTATAAAATGGTGGAGTTCATTCATATTATTTTAAACATTATTCGAGTTTATGTCAAACATTTTAGTAGTTCAGAATCTCAGAAACAACAACAGATTATGAACTGAACAAGAACATCAATAACAGAACATATTAAGTACTTCATATAGGTACTTTAAAACTAACAAAACTTGCCGTATGCTTTATTTGTCATCAACGCTGGCCCTTGCTATAGATGAGGATAGAACGAGATTATGTTTAGGGCCTCTTTGATCAAAACTTTCACATCACCCAACTTAGGGATCTATTAAGTACATACCAATGGTTCGGCGCCCCATGCTATTTAGCGCCTTAAATGGCGCCCCTTCGGTCAACTTTTCACATCAAGTTAATTTAATGCTCTAATTGGCGCCCCTTGTCACTTGGCGCCAACTCTTGTTCTACCCCAGGGCCAACGCTGACACCTACAAAAACATCGGAAAACAAAAACCTACGTCGATTACGTTCGGCAAGACCGCATTCCCAATCAAAAATATTGCACTAGTTTCACTAAAACATAAATGATATGCAGATTCTTAATCTATGCTGTGAAAAATTAAAGCGAACCTCCACTAGCAAAAATATTTGAATACGCAACCCTAAAAGGGTACAAACTTAAGTAACTTACAAATTAATATTATAACGCATAATATACAGATAGTTTTGTTTGTATTAAGACTTGCAATGTACGGATAATATTTTGAATATTAAAGTGTGCAACTAAATAGGAAAGATTTTCCATAAATGTATTATTTAACTCATTAGCAGCCGCCACAAAAGTGCGGTTCAAAGGCCATCATTTAATAAATGTTTTATTTCATTTTCTGTTTATGAACCAATTAGTTCATGCTTTTTTATGTCATAAACAGACTTCCTATTTTTTGCATCTTTTCGAAGGCAAAATGTTTTTTAATTACACTAAATTGTTTTACGATTTGGAAGTAGCTGCCATAAATAATAAAAATACTAAATAAAGATTTGGTTTGCATCAATTTGGCATTGTCACTACGTGTCGGTGGTTGACAATACGTCATAGTCACTCAGTCTTAAATAAAATGTGAGCAAAAGAATTGGATAGGGGTTGTAGACAAAGTGACATTCGTTATTGTAACGCTTCGCTAGGGTAAAAACTTGTGTAGCAATAATAGATAATAATATCTCTGAACATTTTACACAGCGCCATCTAGCCACATATTAAGTCAAGTGCGTGAGATGTAGGCGAGTCTGTCGAAACGAAATCGATATTGAATGTCACATTGTCTACCCCTGTAAGGTAATAGACAAGCTTTACTTATTAGTGTTGAAATTATAAGTTAAAACGTCTTTACTATACATTATGCGATGGAAATAACCTTTTTTTTATATTTTATACAATACAGTTTTTAGATAGAAAAATATTTCTTGTCTCATTTCAATTAAATATTTTTTTGAGTTAAGTATGCCATGTTTTAAACAATAAAAACAGGTGTGACGAGCGCCAGATCTAAGACTTGGTGTAGATTGTCTATCGGCGCCCCTTCGGTTTAAATTTTCATATTACATTCTTTAAGGTTTTGACAGTATGCGCCATTTTGGCGCCCCTGCTTTAACTTTCGGCCATACGATAATTTTCTCTGGATATGTATATTCGACATTAATAGAGAAGTTTTTAATATAGACTGGATTGCTTGCATTGTTAATTAACACATATAGCAATACATACTGTTGCACAGAATGATATAATATGTATATGCATATAGACATAATCAGCGTTTAGTGCGAGATCGCCTAATAATATCAGTTTAAAACATGATAGGGAAGTATAAATTGACATTTTTGTACACAATGGAAGGAATTGACTAATGGAAGACAAAAAAGGAATAATATGTATAAATACATAATGATAGGCTATTTGACAACGTTTATGATAATAAAATTAATGACATCCGATTAGCATGAAGCTTTTATGAAATAAATGTAGGTAACTTTTGAATACACGATGTTCTTTTAGCTGGCTGTCATTGAAAATGGTTCGGATTGAGTAATGACGTCACATTTCAGCATCTGTCACATCTACTACCAGTACGACGCCATATTGCTCAAGATAGAGATTTTTTATTTGAAAAATTTTAAACAGCAACAAAAAAGTCTAATATTTTTGGACTAAAGATCACAAAATAACCTAAAATATTTGCTAGAAACCAGTCAAATAGCCTATGATGGAACAATAAATATCATAAGTTTTTAAAACAATAAAAAGCAAGCATTTCTTTCGAGCGCGAAATACAAAAGAGGCAAGCAAGCTTATAAAATAATTGTTATTTGCAAAAAATACCGTTTTAAAGAGTCAATAATTAGGGTTATTATGCAAAACCATAGCCACAGGATTAATAAATTACAAACTATACAATAACTATGTTATTCGACTAAAAATGTAACACACTAGACGAATTTCTTTTTATTATGTTACCTTCTTATGCTCGAAACATCTGACAGTTCAGTGTTGCCATCCGCAGTCTAACAATACTTAATTTATATTAAGTTGCCATAAAATGGACATGTCATAGATTATAACGTGTATTATTATGTTATACAGGCAAGTTGGTTATATCTTTGCCTTTTATTCGTGCAATAGTTTCGGTGCGTTCACTAAACTAATAAATTTATAGTTTGTGGCCACTCAAAATCGTTACAGCTGGGGACTAGACACAATAAGCGAATATAAAAAATAGCCTAATTCTTTCTATTTACATACGAACGTATACAAGTTCGCATAAACATTTCAAACAATCTTACAACCAACGTTCCAATTTACGTAAAATGAGGTTTAGACTTTTCTATTTTGTCTTTTGAATGAGGCAGTTTAAAAAAGTATGTAGTATGTCATAAATATTTGTCTTTTCATGTGTACAAAATGTGTGGCGATATTAGGTGTATGTGACATGTAACCATTACCTATGTAAAACTATAATTGGTAATTAAAATTTGAAACAAAATTGTGATTGCTATACAGGATGTCACACAAAAGGCAGAATGATTTTAAAAAAAAAAAAAAAGTAAGTACATCATTATTAAGGATATCGATATTCGTGATTCGATACTAAAACTTTAATCGATTATTTTAAAAATTTAATTTAGTGTTGCTATCTATTGCTATTGGGTGACCCCTGTATTCGGTTTTATAATAATAAAAAATATTAAACAAAAAATCATTTAACTCCACCTAGCATCACGTTCTAACAATAAGACTCATCACATAGCTCTATGGTGTCATTATTTGTGTCTCGCTCGCACACAGGACGAGAGAGCAGGAGGTTACATATCCAGTGTCTTTATACGGCATGTGTATAGGAGTGACGTTATATAACATGTATTAGGTATACTTATGTGGTGTCGTGAGCTATGTGCGCGGGAAATAGTGACCTGTGCGAGCCGGTAGGGGCGGCGGTGTATCCTGGAAAACAATAATATTATTATTCAATATTCATTACGATATTCTTCAGTCTACATATACACTGGTCATCACAAAAATCGACCCTCCCGCGACAAGCACTTTCAAACGTATGCATCCCCACTTCCCACTAATATTGGCACCATTTAAAAGCCTAGTTCTAAACTTCATTTCATTAAAGGATAGGTTTTTACCCCAAAAATGTGTCTGTAGAAGAATCCAGTCACTTCTTCAAAATATAGGTAGTTACGCTTGAGCCAACTTTTATGGCTATAAAACTGTTAAGTTGGGATTAATCGCTATCAATCTGTTAAAGAGGACACGTGAGATCATTATTTGGTTTTATAACCATAAAAATTGGTCTAATTGATCCCAGAGGTGAGCCCAAAGTGAGGTCTTTTTTCAAGTCACATTTATTGTATATGTTAATCGTTTACATCGTTTATTATGAAATTAAATGTGTTTTTCTTTATGGATATTTATTGGGCTTTCAAATAACACCAATATTGTTGGGGCACCATGATTGTGTCAGTAGAAACGAGTTTTCCTGTAAAACGTAGGAGGGCCGATTTTTGTGATAACCAGTATTAGTTCTTGCAACACACGAAGGCGAGTGAGCTTTACTTGTGTGTGTATGTGTACATCAGCGTTGCCAGACGTCCCGATTTTGGCGGGACGTCCCGATTTTTAAATCAAATTTAAATGTCCCGCGCGGGACAGGCTCGGTCCCGCTTTTCGGAGAGAGACACTCACTTCACCAGACTATTGTTTTAAACGCCATATTATTAGAGAATACATTTTTTTTTATTTCGATTGTTTTATTTTTCTTTTTTTATTCTAAAGACGAATTTAACGATAGAGTAAATCTGCGTTAAAATATTATTTTTTTGTTAAAATACATTTTCTATAGCTACTTTTGCAATCTATTGTCACGTAAACCTAATTATAAGTCAAATAAATAGATAAATATTTGAAAACCTTTGATTATATACGTTTTTTTACTATGTCCCGCTTCTGACGGAAGAATCCCGCTATTTTCACTCAAAAAGTACCAAAGTCCCGACTTGGCGAAAAAAAAAACTGGCAACGCTGGTGTACATGCGCATAACGATAGTGTAATGTCTGTCAAAACTTTTGAAAAACGAACAGTAGCGAGCCACCACACTTGTAAAGCTCACTCGCCTTCGTGAATTGCAACAACTACACTCGCGAGCAAAACTATGGAATCACTTACATGAAGTTGTTTCCACGCAATCTTGTGTACTAACGAATTTGTTAGTAACAAAAAAAGTGGCACCATTTTAAAGATTAAACTTTTACCTTTTAACTGATACCAAATTCATTTAAATCACACCGGTATTTAAAAAGATATCCCGGCTGATGTGAAGAAGTAAGGAAAAAGACATGTATCAACTGTTTGATACGTCGCGAGTTGCGGCCTACTTACCCCCTATAAAAACACGTGTTTTCGGTTTTTGCTTTCACACGTTGATCCATACACATCTCCGCTTTTTTTGACACTTTACCTGGGATTCTACACCTACAGAAGCAGCTCAAATCGTTGCACTATTGCAAGAAGGGCTCAGCCAGCACGCTGTCGCACGTCAGCTCCACGTAACCAGTCCTGGGTTTCGAAAGTTTTAAGATGCTTTCGGGAGACTGGTGGCTTTATCCCGAGACCAAGTTCTGAACAGCGCCGGTGCATATCGCAGAGGGATGACCGTTTTTTCATGTCAAACTCTCTATGAAATTATCATTTGAGTGGTATCGACGTCCAGCAAGAGCTCAGAAATGTTCGTAGGATAGCTGTTAGCGTGTGGACAGATCGTCTAAGATACAAGCAATAGAATTTGACTCCAAAAAGGCCTGCTACAGGCTCGAAACTGACGGCAGGTCACCGACAAGCACGCTTTCAATTAACTCGCACTTATTTTGATGGGTAGGCGAGTAATGGAGGCGAGTTTTGTTCTCCGATGAATGCAGACTGTGTTTGCAGTGCAGCAGTTGAAGAGGTCGGGTCTATAGGCAGCCTGGGGAGCGATTTGTGCAGTGCTGGTTCGCTGAAACAGTGGCTAATGGGGGTGGCTTGCTCGACTTCCTATCGAGATGTGTACGAGTAAATTGAAAGCGTGCTTATCGGTGACCTGCCGTCAGTTTCGAGCCTGCGGCAGGCCTTTTTGGAGTCAAATTCTATTGCTTATATCTTAGACGAACTGTCCACACGCTAACAGCTATCCTACGAACATTTCTGAGCTCTTGCTGGACGTCGATACCAGCCAAATGACGATTTCATAGAGAGGTTGACATGAAAAAACGGTCATCTTTCTACGATGTGCACTGGCGCTGTTCAGAACTTGATCTCGGGATAAAGCCACTAGTCTCCCGAAAGCGTCTTAAAACTTTCGAAGCCCAGGACTGGCTTATGTGGAGCTGACATGCGACAGCCCGCTGGCTGAGCCCTGCTTGCAATAGTGCAAGGATTTGTGCTGCTTCTGAAGGTGTAGAATCCCAGGTAAAGTGTCAAAAGAAGCTGAGATGTGTATGGATCAACGTGTGAAAACAAAAATCCGAAAACACGTGCTTTTATAGGGGGTAAATGGGCCGCAACTCGCGACGTATCAAACAGTTGATACATGTCTTTTTCCTTACTTCTTCACATCAGCCGCGATATCTTTTTAAATACTGATGTGATTTAAATGAATTTGGTATCAATTTAAAGGTACAAGTTTAATCTTTAAAATGGTGCTACTTTTTTTGTTACTAACAAATTCGTTAGTACACAAGATCGCGTGGAAACAACTTCATGTAAGTGATTCCATAGTTTTGCTCGCGAGTGTATAACATTGTAACATGAAAAGTAATAAAGATAGAAAAACAAAATAAAGTCTCGCATTATAAATTTTCTAGCACATACTTTAATCAAGAATCTATCATTAGGTTGTCCTAAATTAAAGAATATGTAAAGAGAAATAATAAACAAAGAATAAAATAATAATAATAAAATAATAAAGAAAGCCAATCAAAAATCAAACCAACCTCTAGCATACTTGCAAAAAAACTTATGATAGTGTTTTAACACTCGGTGCCATGCTCTGAAATAAAATTGAAAACAAAACTTAAAAGTGCGAGGGACAAAAACATTGGCTAAATATTTTCATAACCTTAATAAAAAAAATACATACAAAAATATGAATATTTATTTTTTTCAATGGACTTTAGTCATTCATACATTATTTTTAAATTCAACAAACTTTTTATGGACATTAATAACTAAAATTGATCATATTTCAAAACGTATGAAACTTTTCTATGGACATATTAGGCTTGTTCGATGCGTGATAGGTTCAGCTACCTCCAGTGTGAGTGTGACGTGCTAATTTTGAGACAGCCTGTATATCCAACTCATGTTTGCAAATTACACTCATAAGCAAAAGACGGTAGGGGAGACTGGGTACGGTTGAAACAATTTTGCTTTTATTGTCTATAATTTTGTTATTTAATAACCAAGTGACGATTACGATACATGAAATTGAAATTTGAAGTTTTAGCTATGATATGGCTGTATCATTATAGTTCCCGGGTTACTAGTTTTAGAAATATACGAAATTTAAAAAAAAAGAAATTTTGTTTCAACCGTCCCCATGCCAGGGGCGGTTGAAACAGCGATTGGGATCTGTTGAAATACATACAAATAATACAATAATTACTAATAAAACGTGTTTTATTTATCATTAATACTACGAATGTTAAAATTATGGTACCACCTGACGACATTAATCAGTATTAAGTATTTAATATTTCTAAAACATTAATTAGCCTTTGACAAGTAGTAAATATTTAAAAAATAACAGAAATATGATAAAATAAATGATATTTCCAAATCTAAGAAACATTAATAATAAAATAATATTAACATTCAGAATAAAGTTAACGAAAATCTTTTTTTTTTTTCAAACCATACTTTTCCGCCGCTTTCCGCAGTCAATCTCCAGCTTTTACCACCTCTTATGCTTTACCAAGTCAATTTCCTCCCTGGAAATCTTCCTTGCCCAAACTCTCGGCATCTACAAAAAATAAACATTAATACATTTTCTGTTTCAACCGTACCCAAAAAAAATGTTTCAACCGTCCCCAACCCCACTTTTGGTAATATATGCTTTATAGTTTCGACACTAATAATCACACATTAAAAATAGTTACTGTCCCTTATTCTACAAGCTTCATTATAATCGCAAACGCACACTCCATACATTCACATAAAAAGAACAGGTAGTATAAGCGTTAATGTCTGAAGAAAAATACTTACTTTGAGTAGTAAAAAACAAAATGGTGTTTTATACACAACGTCAACACGTTAGGAAGTTATTAGGCACTAAATTCGTGTTCGGACCTGTCGTCCGCTTCTTTTTCCCCTAGGACCCCTTACTCTCCGTGGAACCGTTTACGAGATATTTGCTCTGTTTCAACCGTCCTTTGTTTCAACCGTACCCAGTCTCCCCTAAAGCTCAAAATGTGTTGTACCTGAACATTGTTGTCGTGTAGGTAGTGTCGCGGCGGCTGCGGCCGCGGCATCGGCTCGTCGCTGTCGTCGTCCTCTTCGAAATCTGTGGGAGTTACTGTTGTCAGACGACCTTATATGAAGGAACTCCTATGTTCCTCTGATTGATTTCCTTGTGGTCCAATGAAAGTTTAACTTTCCCCCGGGACAAACTTGACCTTCACTGGATGGGTTTTGATTGGCGGTCTAGCTATAGATCCTGGCTACACAGGAGTTGAAGCGGTGGGAATGAGAGGTGGGACTAGTCCCGTACCTACCTAAAGATGTAAGCTTCTTAAGATGCCTTTGCACTACAGTTCTTTGTCAGACAGGTCGCATAACTGAGGTGTGGGAGCGGCACAGGAGGATGTTTTTGTGACGTCAAAGGTCAGTGAGCCTTCAGATGTGTTAGAGTAGGCGCACACCGTTGATTTTTCGTCGGCCGATAGTTTAGTCGGGCAGTTGATCAGTATGGGCATGTATGGGAGTGCGCACACTACGCCGATTCGATTTGGCCGATTCTTCATACAAATTAAAATCCGGCACAACTATCGGCCAACTAAAAATCAACGGTGTGCGCCTACTCTTACAGACTTGTATGCTCTGTCACGTCATATGTCAGTTATATCACCCTTCCAGTACCACTCCCTTACCTCAGGCACTGACTCAGTTATGCGGCTAGACCTTTAATTGTTTTTTATTGGCAACCAAGCTATAGATCCTGGCTACACAGGAGTTGCAGCGGTGGGAACGAGTGGTGGGAATAGTGCTGTAGAAACGCGTCATTTCACCCTGCCTTCGGCTTGTCACATCCAGCTTCTGATAGCTTGGCGATGGCGTTCTACAAGTCGCTTATATCATCACAGTCGTGGCAAATATTTGTTACATTACACTATACCAAAGGCTATTTCATTTACACTCAACATCAAATAAACCGCACCTTCCGCGACGCGAACTTTAAAGATTTTCTTCTGACACAATCATGGTGCCCCAACAATATTGGTGTTATTTGAAAGCCCAATAAACAAACTTAAAGAAAAACACATTTAATTTTTTTATAAACAATTAACAGGTACCATAAATGTGACTTGAAAAAAGGCCTCACTTGGGGCTCATCTATGGGCCCAAGTAGACCAATTTTTGTGGTTATAAAACCAAATAATGATCTTACGTGTCCTTTTTAACAGATGGATAGCAATTAATCCCAACTTAACAGTTTTATAGTCATAAAAGTTGGCCCAAACGTAACTACCTATTTTTTGAAAAAGTGACTCTGGATCCTTCTAAAGACACATTTTTGGGGTAAAAACCTTTCCTTTAATGAAATGAAGTTATGAACTAGATTTTTTTCAAATGGTATCAATGTTGGTGGAAAGTGGGGATGCATACGTTTGATAAGTTCTTGTCGCGGGAGGTGCGATTTATTTGATGCCGAGTGTATATGTTACGGTTAATGTGATAAATTGAAAATTATTAATAATAACCGGTTATTATGAATAATTCCCGACAGTCGCGGTAAAAGTGATAAATTAATCACATTTAACAGTGATTATTTAATAATTCAGCCTTAGTACTAACAAATTTCATAAAAGAGAACAACATCTTGTGTACGTGCTCGTGTACAGCCAAACTTTTGAACGTTTTGATATCATATATTAATATAATTTGACATAATGAGTTTGGAATGTTTCTTGCATAATATTACTTTTCCATGATGCCTATAACATATAATAATGTTTTGATTTAAAGTGAAAAATAGGTTAAGGTGCGGCGGGGGTGGCCCTTGGGCCACCCCTAAGCCGCCTATTTAGTTTTATACACACATAAATGACCTCATATTAATCACATTTACCAAATCATGCGGTAATTATTCATAATAACCGGCGATTATTCATAATTTTCACATTTATCACTTTGACCGTAACATATATACCTACGAGTAAGTTTTTAAGTTAACTAGTTGTTACGTAGGTATAGTTTCTCTAAAAACAACCTACTTTGGTTAATATTCTAAAACATCTATTTATTTTAACTAAATACATGCACTTCCCCTTTCTATAACGTTATGCAATGCCACGGTAAATATAATTTCCATGTCTTTATGATGTAATGGTAGAAAAACAGCAAATAGTAAACATGCTATGCGACCACAGTATCATGCTGATAATAATGAAGGAATAAAAACATTAATGATCCCTGCAAATTAATAATGATTGTAATTTATTAATTTGAAGAGCTTTTTCATGCTGACAAGAAGTATTTTGTCATTGATGCTGATTGGCATGAGTATTGATTAACATTACGAAGTTTCTTTACTAAATACAGGGTGGAAACGATAAGTGATCTCACTCGATTATTTATAAACTATACAAGATATCAATAAACTAGTTACTGATTCTGAAAGTGCTTCATGAGCTCTATCAAACGGTTTTAATAATAGGTTACAGAATAAACTGTATCTAACCGAAAATTCAATGTTTCCAGCTACCATACATTTAGTAAAGTCACATTATTTTAAAAACTACACATGATATCGTAAAACTGATTACTGATTCTAAAAGTGCTTCACAAGCTCTATTCAATGGCATCAATAATAGGTTACAGAATAAACTGGATCTATCAAAAAATTCAATGTTTCCTTCTTCCATACATTTAGTACTACCACAGTCATAATACTCATCTCTTGACAATATTATTGCAAGTAAAACCTAAAACCAATATTTTCTATGAATAATTTTAAATAAGAATACAATTTACGAGTTTATTTTAAGAGTTTATTATTAAATAAAAAAATTACACTTCTAATATTGTGTGTCTGGCATACATTTAGTATGGAAGCTGGAAACATTAAATTTTCAGATAGATCCAGTTTATTCTGTAACCTATTATTGGTACCGTTTGAAAGAGCTCATGAAGCACTTTCAGGATCAGTAACCAGTTTTTCAATATCTTGTATAGTTTAGAAATAATCGAGTGAGATCACTTAACGTTTCCACCCTGTATACGTGGTATACGGACTTCTGTGTGGCTGTTCTGTCGTTTTCAGACCGATTGATTTAGTTAGAAAATAGTTTTATAGTAGAGTTTTACTAAATGTTGCACGCGCCTTTTTTTCTAAGGCCTCTTGAATTGTACAAATTACTAACATTTCCGTTAACTCTGCGTGTTAGGGAGTGGTTTCACCACAACGATCAGTCACTCAGTTTGAGCAAAAAGACAAAAACAAAATATAGGTAGACTTTCCACCAGAACTTGCTTGCTGTTAAAATCATGATCTATGATTTTCGACTATTTATAAATGTTAGTGTGTATCTTTAGGGACTATAATGCGGTGGCAAACTTATAAAATTTATTTTTGATACTTTATATGTTAGTGTGAATACTTTAGTGGCTCTATTGCTGTGACAAACTGAATTTTAGTTTTGATACTTTATATGTTAGTGTGAATGCTTTAGGGTCTATAATGCTGTGGCAAACTTACCTCTCTGTTTCCTAGGTTCACCCTTCACCGTGTCTTCTGTGTCGGACCCTTCTGGAAAACATTTATTTACTTAAAACATCTACGAAAATGTGCATCGAACGTCAATTTTGAACATAAACTGTTTTTTCACGAATTCAACGAAAACCAAGTAGAAATTTCGACGAAATAATAGTTATAGAAATAATAATAACGCAAAACAGTAGTGCAGTGTTTGATCTAAAAATAATTGGAAAAATAAATAAGAAATTATAAAGTTAGGGTCTTTCTTCGTGATAGGTATTGTTATTTTACATGTTGTGTAATCTTTTTACGTGGGTTATGTGACAAGATATGTAATAAAAACGTTTCAGTAACGTGTCAAATGTAGATAATTTAAAAATAAACAAAGTAAGGTGTAAACAATGTGTGTACAATCAGTAAAGTGACATAAACAATACACATTAAGGTTGAAATTGTCATGCGCAATACAATAAACGTGCCATGCTGAAGTATTTGAAAAATGATCGAAATTCGTTGGGGAAAATATATTCGTGATAATATTTTTAATTACGTTGTGTACATTTTATGATTTTTCATATTTTAAGATGTAAATTAGCCAACGTAATTAACTTACAATACAGTTGGAAACTTTTTAGACTAAGTTATTTATATTTCTATGTATAATAAGTATGTATTTACAAAAAAAAAAGTATATAAGTATGTTTATATCCGTTGTCTAGTACCCATAGTACAAGCTTTGCTTAGTTTGGGACTAGAAGCGCAGTGTAAAAAGTCCAAGGATATTTATTTATTATTATTATTATTATTATTGTTAAATATCTAAAATTTTCACTGTTGTTAGTGCTTATATTTTTCTATAGTGGGAATCATGCTTAGTTGCTATGCAATTAATACCTAGTTCTTCAAATATTCTGTAAACTATACCATTATTATTTGGCAAACTTTTTTCTATTTATGCTTTCTATATTTGTCTATGGACACTATTTGACAGCTGTCATCGTTGAGTGGAAAATACTGGCGTTTAAAATTAGTTCTTTTTATCAGTTATTTATGAAGCTTTTTAAAAATCGTTTAATGTATAGGTCGCACAGCAAGAGTTGAGGCGTCAACACAAGCATGATGTTTAATATACATACATCGTCGATATATCTGTATACGCTTGTCGCGCTGACGCGGACGTCTGGCGTATTCTGGCTGATTTGTGTTCTGTATTCAAATATTACACCAGTGGATGCGTTGAAAAAACCGCTTATAAGCAAAATGGCGATCTCTACGGCGAGGACACGTTTGCTAACTTCAATAGTGAATTAGTGGCATGTTTCATTCATTTTTTTAGCAGAGACAGCGCTTCTTACCGCTTGACGGTGGCTTATAAGCGCTTCCAAGTGCTATTTTCCGCCAAATGCATCCAATACGTTTCCCTCAACTTTCGTTGCGCGACGTATACCTACTTAGCGTTGTACTCGTATCTTGCTTATATTGTTGTACTAACCTGAATTGAGCTCTCTAACTAGCGTGGACATGGCATTGGTGACGGAGTCCGCGGCGTAAAGCAGGTCGCTGCGCAGGCTTCGGTTGTCTATGCCCACTGGAAGATGACGTTTCATTATTATAGAGTTCGTTTACGTTTTGGACAAACATAGATTACTATCTTCTACTATTTTCATGTATACTATTAGGGCTATATTTCACCGGGACACCATGGCGGCGCAACCAGTCGCCGCTACCAACAAAATGTACAAACGGACACCAGGTGAGTAAATCTCTATAGAGCTGTATACATTTTGTTGGTAGCGGCAAATGGTTGCGCCGCCATGGTGTCCCAGTGAAATATAGCCCTTAGGGTTTCAAAAGATGAAATATTAATGATGAGGAGAAGTTACAATGATGTGATTTTTTAAAGTTTTATGAAGTAAAGACCTAATTAATTAATAAAAGAAAACTTATGAATTAATATGTAATTACTTACTTGTTGTCGGTCTTTGGTTTTGATGAAAACTTCTACTTTCACCTCCCATACTCTCCACACCTAGAAATAGATTTTTTTTATTATTAAAAACCAATATAAAAATATACAGATCGGCGTCCAAGGGTCCCATAATTCTAACGTTTATTAATTACTAAAATTGTTCATCATTTTGGATCTTAAGACAAAGTAATAAGATTCACAATAACGGCCGGCCTCCTCATCCTCCACCTCATCTTTTATTGCCTTATTTGCCTTGTCTTAATCCAAAATTCACGAACTCCAAAAATCCAAAAACGCTCTAAGACTCATTAACAGCTGGTGAAAGGGTTACATTGACCATACCATTTCAACCGCCTCTGTGGTCTAGTGTAAGTCTAGTCTAGTAAGACCACCTGATCCAGAGGTCCAGGATTAGATTCCCAATGGGGGCAGATTTTTCTGTTCGGTTTAGTTGCCGCCTGGCTAGCTACCACTGGCAGTTAGAGGTAAGATAGTTCCATGGTTGAGAATTCCGGGTAATGAAGCCTAACAATGAGGGGTTTCGCGATTGAAAAATCCGGCAGATGGCAATACGAAGACGCGAGGTCCAAATGCTGCATGATTGGTTATTTTTGACATGAATATGTCAAAATCCACCAATCACGCAGCAGTCAGACCCTACATTCACGTCCCGCCATCTGGCGGTTTTTTGAATCGCGAAAACCCTCATTGCTCTAAAATTTAGCGATAGGGTAATGAAATCGAAATTCTATTTAGTCCGTCAGACAGATAATAAAAAATTTTGGAGACATATTTTTTTTCATAATCGAATAATTACAGTATTATATTGAGTTGAAATGTCGCGTGACGTCACTTTAGAGTAAAAATTATACTCAAGCGTGACGTATCGCGCCATTTCAATTCGATGTAGCACTGTTATTATTTAATTATGAAAGAAAATAAAAAATTGAGTCTAATATTTTCTAACTATCATCATTGCCTATTGTCATCTAGCCTATTACAATGAAAGGTAGGGTACATGTCTTACCAAGGCTGTGCGTCATGTCGATCCGCTCTCTTTCCCCTAGCGAAGGAGTTTGAGGCGCGCTGCGGACTGTCCCTCGGGTACTCGACTCTCTGTTGGCAAATGTATACGTTATTCTTTGTCGGCCGTTTGGTGTAGTGGTTCAGAACGGACTACTATGCCGAGAGGTCCCGGGTTCGATTCCCTGGCGGGCAGAAATTGAAATGATGAATTTTAATTTTTGTGACGGGGTTGGGTGTGACTATGTATAATATTTATGTATTTAAAAAAAAAAAAAGTATATAAGTATATCCGTTAAGCTAGCACCCATAACACAAGCATTAAGTTGCTTACTTTGGGGNGACTGTCCCTCGGGTACTCGACTCTCTGTTGGCAAATGTATACGTTATTCTTTGTCGGCCGTTTGGTGTAGTGGTTCAGAACGGACTACTATGCCGAGAGGTCCCGGGTTCGATTCCCTGGCGGGCAGAAATTGAAATGATGAATTTTAATTTCTGTGACGGGTCTGGGTGTGACTATGTATAATATTTATGTATTTAAAAAAAAAAAAAGTATATAAGTATATCCGTTAAGCTAGCACCCATAACACAAGCATTAAGTTGCTTACTTTGGGGCTAGCTGGCGCTGTGTGAAATTGTCCAAAGATTTATTTATTTATTTATTTATTATCAAAACTGGATTAACTTGGCTTGTATAATTTACTTAATTACTGTCTTAAGACATACAAACAACATGTAAAATACGACGAACCTGTGCGATCCGAATGAGGAATATGGCACCATAAAACATAAAAAACACCTTCTCTATACTAATTGTACTTTGTAGCGTGAAGGATGAAAACCAACGAAGAAAAGTGTTTACAAACAGTAGTTGTATTGTATTTGAGTAGCAGAATAACTCCAATTTCTCAGGGAACTGGCTTTTTTCCATTGCCACAAATTCCATTGTAGCTTTTCTAAGCATTTCGCGTTGTGGACGTTTTACAGAGACCACAAAACGTTAAGAGCTATCATCGCTCATTTCTGGCTTTGTGCGTAACAATATTTTACTGATTGACTTTGTGAGTCACTCATCACGAAATCTCAGAAACTACAAGTGCTAGGAGTCTCAAATTTTGCATGGGGGTTCCTTTTAGAACGTAGGTGCTCACTAAGACAGGATTTTGCAAAATTCAACCCCTAAGGGGGTAAAACGGGATCCACGCGTACGAAGTCGCGGGCGGCCGCTAGTTACACATATAAGAATAATACTAAAGGGCTAATACTACCTTTCTGGCGCACTGGGTTGCGCCTGCGCACCCGGCAACGGCGGGCTTTTGGTCGAGCGCGGGGACGAGTTGGGCGTCGACCGCGGCGACGACTGCTGCGTCTGTCAAGCAAAAATACACCCTATTTAATACACAGAAACATTCAAAATTTAAGGACTAACTAGAGTACGGCTTGGGTATCGACCTAGTGTATGATTGCTGTGTCTGTCAAGCAAAAAAGACCCTATTTAATACACAGAAACATTCAAAATTGAAGGACTAACTAGACCATTGGTTCCCAAAGTGGGGGGCGCAAAGACCTTTAAAGGGGGGCGCGGGCCATCTGTAAGAAACCTGCGACCGCTGAGAGAACGCATTCCAGGCTGCTCGATACGACCAATAAATCATCTTGACTGTAGGAGGGGGGACTCGGATTTTTTTGTATGGTTGAAAGGGGGCGCGTCTGAAATAAGTTTGGGAACCAATCACACTAGACTATGGCTTGGGCTTCGACCTAGTTCATGATTGGTGTGTCTTTCAAGCAAAAATACCTACACTATAAGTAACAAAACACAGAAACTTTTTGATTTGATTTGATTTGATTTATTTAACAACAATCTTAGCTCTAACATTACAGGTTACCCCAATGCGATAGAGTAGATTAATTAGTACATAATTAAACAATTAAAATTGCCGCTATGGCTATAACATAAAATAAATAATGTAACTTTTGTAAATTCAGCCAAAGAACAGCTGAATATGTCAACGGTTCTAGCTACTAAGTACATTAAGTGTACGCAACGTTCTGATAATTGGCGCCTCTTTTAGCATATTGGTTCTTTCATTCGGAATCTATCATATATCGGAATCTGCCCGCATCCACATTCTTCCCGCGACCTTCACCAGATCGTCAGTCCACCTAGTGAGAGGACCGCTCACACTACGTCTTCCGGCCCGTGGTCATACATATGTTACGTTTTGGCATATCCTTAAGTTGTGATAAGATTTTCCGTAGAAACTTTCATTCCCTTAACATATTTTTATACATAAGTACTAGCGACAAATTTAAATGAAGATCGTTATAGGCCTTAGTGACATACATATTTTATAAACACGTGCCACACGTGTCCCTAAACAATTTACGTGCAATATCAGTACATAAAATGCACTACAAAAATATTTTGATGGTCCAAAATATGGTCATAAATGACATTATTACTAGTCAAGTACATAAGTGGCATATTTAAGAATATGTAAATTACTATAAATACTTATAAACTTATCCTATAGGTATAAAGCACTTCAGTCCTTTGGCTTTTGTAGAAGCATATTCAGGAAGCATTTATCATATCATGTAAGTTTTAAATAGAATAAAATTTTAATAACTTCAAACTGTCTCTGTTGTGGTGTAATTAACAGAAAGTTTTTTTTTTCAATTAATTTGAAATTAATTGTACCTACTTTCATACAGTTTTAAAGTATGTATGTTGTAAATCATAAAATTATTTAGACCCAAATGTTTTGAATAACCAATCAGATTTCATTCAGTCAATTTCATGAATTCATTTCAAAAACGTTTCTCCACTCGGCTCCGCCTTGGTGGAAACTGGAAAACGGGCCTTAACATTCTAGAATCTGTTATTATAGATTTCTTATCTTGATTGCTGCGCTAAGTTAAATTCTCAAAAGGTACGAAAAGGGTAAGTACTGGGAAGAACAACCTGTAACAGAAGCCCATGTAAAATATAGGCTTGTTTTGAAAACAATAGTACGGAATTCCCCTAACAGTGGCAAGAAACGCATGGTTTTTCTGACATTCAAATACGTACTCTATGACTTGATGTAAAAGCTGAATATTGTATTCAGTTAAACACAAGTCAGGAATGTTTTTACACGGTTCTTATTCTACATTATAATGTAGAAGTGTTCTTGGGATACTTTTAGTATAATATAGACGGCACATTCGAAGGTGGTGGGCATATTCATAAGTTCTACACTATTTACAAGCCACGTTTGTTGTTGCCATCATATTCCTTCAGGATATAAGTGCTCGTATTCTGTGAAAACTTCGTTGGAAAGAGTTTCAAAAAACTTCATTTTTTAACCGACCATAAAAAAGGAGGAGGTTGTCAATTCAAGTGTACCTATGTTTTTTTTTTGTATATATGTTACCCCAGAACTCCGTCATTCATGAACCGATTTTAATTTTTTTTTGTTCGATAGGGTATACTCTCGAGGTGGTCCCATTTGTCACCACGTCAGGGTCTGACGATGGGATCCTAAGGAAATCGATGGCAACCCTAAAATTTTATAGGCACGTTATATCGTTTTTCATATTTTTTCTTAATTACAGACTCAAAATGAGGTTCGCAATGACTCTATTGCTGGTGGGCGTGACATTGGCGGTGACTTGGGCGGAGTCGAGTGAGAGTGACAGCAGCTGGGAGTATTCATTTGAAAGTGACGAGGGTCTGTGGGCGGAAAGTGACCAGAGTGCGAGCCTGGAGAAGGTCGATCATTTGTGCCTGTTAAAAGAAATCACTAATTTGATCGGCTGTTTCAAGAATGGTAAGGCTTCATTTAATATAGTACGAGTATACAGGGTGATTTTGTTATCAATATGCAAATTTTTAGAAGCGCCTCAGAATCAGTAACTTAAACTACTTAGTACGTAAAGACAACATTTTTTTTTCATATTTAATTATTTTTATCCGCTACGCGCGGTTTCAACATTGGCTCGTGTGGATAATTTGCTTCGTTCATAGAATAACCTCCTCCTTTTTTGAAGTCGGTTAAAACTATGGACACACAGTTTAATACAAAGCACAATAGACATAATAGTGGGGGAAATTAGCGGTTAGGAATAATTAAGACAAAGTTGTATTTTTTTGTTCTATAGAGCTTATTAAAAAAAATGGATAGGTACTGATATAACAAAATCACCCTGTAGGTACATATTTTCTAGTGGGAGACCGAAAGGTGAGTAGTAACAAAGGAGAGTTGTGACATTGTCAAGTTTTGAAAACCTATTAACTACTAGCTTTCGGCCCGTGGCTTCGCTCGCGTGTAATTTTTTCTGTCACAGAAAAGCCTTATCGCGCGCGTCCCTGTTTTAAAAACCGAGATAAAAACTATCCTATGTCCTTTCCCGGGACTCAAACTATCTCTATGCCAAATTTAATCAAAATCGCTTCAGTGGTTTAGGCGTGAAAGCGTGATAGACAGACAGACGGACAGACAGACAGAGTTACTTTCGCATTTATAATATTAACTTAGTATAGATTAGTGAACTCGTGACAGCGCGCATTTGTTAGCTCGAGACTTGAGCTAAAAACGCGCACTGTTACGAGCTCGATAGTCATTTAAGTTCGAAAAAATCGACAATGGCACAGCTCTCCTCTATTACAATAATACCGCGGTCTCCCCTATGGATTAGTATATTTTAATAATTCCTGTCGCCCCTAGAAGTGAAAGTCTCAAGATTGGTCATCTAACATTATTCAATTGATTATTTAATTTATGTCAAACCAGTTTGACCAGAGGTTGGCGAGTGTAGGCAAAGTCCTCTATTTACCTGATGATTGAACTCTAACATTACAATATAATAATAATTTTGATGCATTTCAGGTATAAGCATAAGTACTGTAAAGTGCGTGATCGAAACGGTACCTGCAATAGTGAAGTGTTTCTCAAATGCAAGAATAGCCTTGGATTATTATGACGATTTGTGGTCTTGGGCTGCGTCTTACGAGTCGCAGTGGCCGTACTACCTCGAGGACCTGTGGGCTCGGGACGATATTCCTCGATCATACAGCAAATCGCCATAATTTAATTAATCATCCAGTAGTTTATCATCAATGAAAACTTAACGGGTGTTTGTACTTAAATAAAATGATTGGTCAATAAGTTATTGAATTTTATTTCAATCTTAGATTATTTGAAACTAGGTACTTTTTCATAGAAAAGGACAGTCGAAAACAGCATTAACTTATATTTTAGTGTTAAAAATTACACAAATACTTATTAATTTTATTATTCCTCGAAGTATCCAATCAAAAGGCCTTTCAACAATGGTTTTGGTGTTGCATGCACATCACAGTAGTTTAATTTAAATAAAGATATCGCCAAAGAAGATTGATATGAAAATGACTGGCTGTATTAAAATTGATATGAAATCTATGTACCTATAATATAATAGTTTTTGCCCGCGGCTTCACGTTTGATGGGAAAAAGAAAAGAGCTGTTTTTAGGATTTTCCCGGATATTATTCGAATTTTTCTCGCCGTAAAAACCATCATTGGACTTGAACGAATATTAAAAAAAAAGAATTGGTAAAATTTGTCCAGGCGTTGTTGAGTTATGCGCTTATCAACACATTTTGCGATTAATTTTTATATTATAGAAAAAAAAATACCTCCTCCTTCCAACTACCCTATTGGAATGATCCAAATGCGGACAAAAAACAACCGAGGTTCAAGTATAATTCTGTGGTAATATAAGTTTTAGTATTTAGACTGGGCCTGATTCTAATTTGTATGAAAAATCAGCAGATACCAAATCGGTGTAATGTGCGCACTTTTATACCTACATGTCTATGTTACGGGCAGTGTGTATAATCCGGCATTCTATACAATCCCGGGTCAATGTATAGAATGCCAAACATTTTCAGTTATTGTATCGAATATTCATTTATGCTCTGACTAGGTATTCTACACAATACCAAATGCGCAGCCGGTAATGTGCCCGTTTTCACTATCAATCCCTAATTTTTAAGTGACCGTTATGAAAACCAAAATTCCTGTTATGTGTTGTGATAGGGGTCACTTAAAAAGTAGGGATTGATGGTGAAAACGGGCATAACTCCTGCATCCCATTTGCTACCACCCTAACCGTACCTACTTACATAAATACGATCAAAACAGGCCAAAATCTGTTTACTTTACACATTGCCGGTGGACCAGCTGGTATTCTATACAATGCCTAGGAATTACATACACTGCCTAGGTAAAGTATTTATTGAAAAATAATATTTATAACTTTACATACATTGCCTACGCGCCCCAGGCATTCTACACATTGACTAGGGATTGTATAGAATTTCTAAATTGGGGGTGCAAATTATACAGGACATGATTAACAGCCCGACCCAACTATCCACCAACTAAAAGTCGGTGGTCTACGCAGGCTTACACTATTTACAGCAGCTATGTCTACGCTTTAGTTTGAATGAAATTTTACATACCTCAAATGCAATAGGTAATAAAAAAACCAATGCGAGTCAAAACGTCCAGTGGGAAATCACTTGAGGCAACGGAAATATCATCAAACATGTTAATCCACAATGGTCATAGGCAAGTATAGTTGTTGCGATTCGCGAAGGCGAGAGAGCTTTACATGAGTGGTGGCTCGCTACTGTTCGTTTTTCAAGTTTTGGTAGACATTACACTAACTATCGTGCATGTCAGTCCTGGATCTGTCAATAGGCCGTATAGGCCGCGGCCTAGGGGCGGCAGCGTCCTAGGGGCGGCAGATTTCAGATGACGCTTACTCGATTTCAGAAGATAAAAGTTAAATAAAGATCCAACCCCAACCTAGCCTACGGGCGGCAAAACTGTAAATCCGCCACTGGTGCATGTATACGTACACACACAAGTAAACCTCACTCGCCTTCGTGAGTTGCAAGAACTAGGCGAGGAAATGCAGGACGGTGTCAGTGCGGTGTCGCACTGCCTATTCGAGTCGATAGTTCGAACCCCGTCCGCTGGACTGTAGTGGTGAACCCACTCCTAACACAAGCATAATACAGGGTGGAATTTTGATATGCCACCTGGAGGGAAAGTACCCTTAATATTGTAGATAGAAAATTTTACTCAAATAAAACATTCCTTTATTTTTGAAAAGAAATAGAACTGCATTCAAAGAGTTCCAAAAATTTGCTTGCCACACCCGAAAATCGAACCAACTAAAATCTAAGCTACCACCCATAACACAAGCATTAAGTTGCTTACTTTGGGGCTAACTGGCGCTGTGTGAAATTGTCCAAAGATTTATTTATTATTATTATGTTTGTACGCTTTGGAGCTCACGGGTCAAAAGTGGCCCGGTCCTTTATAAGGCTTGCGTGGGGATACAGATCCAACACGTAGAGGCCGTTCAAAGCGCAAAATAATCGACAAAAGTGAAAGTGGTGCACATGCTGGATCTAGTCTCTGACTATATCATGGCATGTAGCCAGAGACCATCCCCAGCCTGTGCACAGGAGCTATTGCAGTTATTGAAGAATGGACTAGGGTTATGGATGAAGGATGGTGGGACTGGTTACTGGGCTATGGATGGAGACTACGGGACACCTGCCTGGTTCATAGTCTCTGACTGAAAAAATGGCAGGCGGTGACTAGCCAGCGACTAAATGGGCCCTCCCTGGCGTCATGGGTCGTATGGACCGGACTGAGGGGCAACATTGGCGTCTGCCAGCTCAGGGGTGTAGAGAGGTGTGCTGCGCTTTCTCCGAAGTTACTCGCGGCGTTATGCCCTTTAACACTTCCACCCCTGGAGCATATTATTATTATCTGTTAAATATTACATCCTGTATTTTTATTGCATCGATCTTTAAGTAAGGGTTAATTATAAGGATGAAATCTCTTTAACAAACTTAATAAATGAAATGAAAAGAAAACCATGAAATCTTAAATTATTTTAATTATTTACAGAAAAGTTTATGGTATGGTGGTGAATTCTCGAAAAAAAAAATCGGAAATCTTTGAATGCAGTTCTCTTTCTTTCCAAAAATAAAGGAATGTTTTCTTTGAGTAAATTGATCTATCTATAATATTAAGAGTACTTTCCCTCTAGGTGGCATTACAAAGTTCCACCCTGTATAACAGGAGGGGTAAACAGGACTAATATTAATTTTTAATTTGTACGAAACATATTACTAACCGTCCGACGCATTGACGTCTCTGAGGGATTACCACCCCGAAGAACCAACCTACATCATCACCAATGCTAACGAGGACAGTGGTTTGCATATACTACCGCTGGTGATGAATCTTGTGCGATACATACAATTGTTTGCTCGTAACCACACCCTTACTCACTATTTAAATAAGTTACTTGTTGTCTAAACTCTGTTTTATTTAATAAAATATCTAAATGAAATCTAAATTATATTATGTTACGGGGCCTAAAGCCTAATTACATTGGCAAAACTCATACAAAAAAAATAATTTATGTGTTACCACAGTAAATATATGAGCTACTGTGGTGTTACCATAGGCGTCGCGTCGCTTAAAAATTAGGGATTGATGGTGAAAACGGGCGTCGGTTGGTTTTTGAACAAACATCCTTATCATAAAACGACGCGACACTCAAGTCATTTCCATTCAAGAATTGAAGTCTACGATGGGTTGGATTCCTATCATAGACTTTTGATCGTTTGTTGCTTATCTCCTTAAGAAATAAAAAAATATTTAGCTCTATCACAGGTTAACTGGACTAATGTCCATTTTCACCATCAATCCCAAATTTAAGTGACCCCTATGGTAACACATAACAGGAATTTTGTTTTCATATGGGTCACTTAAAATTTTGGGATTGATGGTAAAAACGGGCATAAGCCTTTTTGAGAGTGACTTAAGTAAGAGTATAACTTAGATAATGATTTTTAAAGTTAGTTCGTTTCAGCCAAATGACGTCCACTGCCGGACAAAGGCCTCCTCCAAGGTTTTCCACAATGCACGGTCCTGCGCTGCCCGCATCCAGGCTCTTCCCGCGACCTTTACCAGATCGTCGGTCCACCTAGTAGGAGGCCTGCCCGGCCTGCCCACGCTTCGTCTTCCAGCCCGTGGTCGCCACTCGAGAACTTTTCTGCCCCAACGGCCATCGTCTCGTTTTAAAGTATTGAATACATAATATACTTTCATACTGAGGTTATANGATACAGGTAAAACAGGCTGGCATATTAGATGGTGCCAGCGAATGCCAGACAAATTGGTAACAAATATTAAGATTTAAGGTACAATTCCAAGACGGGCCGCAGACCGCAAACTGCAAAACTATGAAATCGGCAGCGCGGCATTGCAGCTGCGGCGTGTATACTGCAGATTTCATAGAGTTTTGCAGTTTGGCTTTTATCCGAAACTATCCGTAACTTTTGAATCAGTTTCGGTTACGGTAATGGATATTTTTTTATTTCGGATATCCGATAGTTTCGGTTACGGTTACGGATATCCATAACATCCCTGCTTGGTAAGATGGCCCTCTCCGTCCCGCTCATACCTTTTAAAATGGCTTCTCCACCTCACTTAAGCCAGAAACTTGAATTTTGGGCACATTAGAATAACATTTTTAACCAAGGTAGATAAAGTTAAAAACGGGATTATTTCCAATAAACAAAAATTGTCGACAATTACAGCAAAAATTTACCAAGTGTTATACCATTTTGGAATCCTTACTAAATGCGCCAAATTATGACGTCACTTGCCACACTCACGTAGTACAATTTTTTTTTCAGTACAGTCAGTTTAAACTTGGCAAAATTTTTAATTTGATATTTTTTTTGGGAATAATGTATTTTTTTCATCCAAGTTGGAGCAGCTGGTTTTGTAATTTTGATAACAATTTAGAGAAGCATTATTCAGGGTTACATAACAAAAAAAAAATTTGGAAAAAGTGAAGATTTGTGGCAACACGAGTAAAAGGACCGTCACCTGGAGTAGAAATTTTTGATTTTTTTTAAATGCCTATTATTTTTAAAATATGCCACATAGATTTTTTTTTATATTTTTCTGATAACCAGCACAACTTGCCTTAACACCCAGTTCCGGCTTGACGTTACATTACGGGACACCCTGTATATTTTAAGCAATGCGAAACCGGTATCGCAATTGGTATTCT